TCTATAATATTAATAATGAGTCTATTATATAAAATCTTTTTTTTTTGTTTATTAATAATGAGATGTATGATTTATAATGTGTTTTTTATTCAAATTATTTTATCAAGTTAATTATGTTTCATATTTTGTTATGAATATTTTTATAAAGTTTTGATGTGTTTTATTTTTCGTTCATATCTAACAATATTTATATCTATACTTCTTAAGTGTTTCATATATTTTTTTAACTATCTCTTTTATTTTAATGTTTCGCCCCCATTGGAGAAAATTTTTGGATCCTGACCTCAAGGGTGACATCATGACTGGTACTTATATTTCTAGGGTGTAAATTCAATAAATCTTTAGTTTTTTTTTTGAAAGCCAAATGAATCAGATTGCATTAGCCACAAGGGGCAGAATAAAAGAAGGAGGAACATCCCTCCAGAATAACCGTCCTGCCAGAGCAGATACATGTTTAGATAAGGAGTGCGCCACATGATTGGCCTCCCTACTAACAAATAAAACCTGAGAACCGGGTAAAGCATTAAACAAACGAACACAAGATAAAAGAATGAAACCAAAATAGTTGCGAAACGAACTAGCATTTCTAAGACTTGAAACCAAAACTGCTGAGTCGGTGTAGATTTTACCACCTGAGTACCCGTTATCCTTTAACCAAGAGAGGGCTTCACACATTGCCATAGCTTCTGCCAAGATGGGGTCATATGGGCACGGCAAAGGGCCATTAGCCGCTGCCACAAAGGAAGAATTGGCATCCAATACTACAAAGCCAAATGCGGCAGAGCGTTGGGGGCCGTGGAACCCGGCATCAACAAAGCACCGGAATGAGGCCGCTGAAGTCTCACCATGTGCATGAAACGACACTGCCCGGGTGGTGCTCTCCCCATAATTCCGTTGTTGACTTTCCACCCAAAAAGTCCAAATCGCAAGGTAACGCCGAATGAGCATTGTTGGCAGTGGCACGGCAGATTCCCATACTGCCGAATTCCTGGCAGTCCAAATACTATGGAGTATGCCACATATTTTCCTTTGTAGCTCACGTGTAAAACCAGCTGTACCACCAAGCCATTCCTCCGTCCACTGCAAGAAATTCCTGTTGGCAAAAGGAGGAAAAGTTGCCAAACATTAATAGCACAAGGGCACAAGCAGAATATATGCATGACACACTCCTCAACTAAGCCACACAATGGACAGACATTTATAATGTCAACCCTCCTAATCATCAAATTATTCAGAGAGGGCAATATATTCGAAAGGGCTCTCCATAGAAAGACCTTCCATTTGGGGGGAACCTGTAGCTTCCAAACATTATTCCATACGAGTGCCGGGTTCAGATTCAAAAATCCTAACCTTTTATAACCATCCTTAACTGAATAACAACCCCTTATATTCCCTTCCCAGTACCATATATCCTCATAATCCATACACACAGGCAATCGCAAAAATTGAATAAATCTTTAGTTAAGTTAAATAAAATTCAATCGTTTTTTTTTAAACTAAATTTATTCTATAAATAAAAAGAACAGCCATTTCTTTCCCCAGCTAGTGTTTGAAAAGTTTTCTCTATGTAAGACCTAAGAAGTTGAGAGCTGCCTATCAAATTTTCAATGGCAAATTATTGTGTGGACCATAGTTCAAAAATATCGTTGTGAATATTATTAGTAAAAATAATGTACATTGTGTTAGAATAATGTACATTACGTGTTAGAATAATACTTCGTAAAACATTTGGGATAATATAATGCACATTATGTTTTTAAATAATGTACATTATGAATGATAAAAATGTATGTTACAGCTGGACGTGCAAAAAAATAAAATTAAATAAAATGATGTCGTTTCTGAACCGTAGTTCACACAGCTGTGTGGAACACGGTCCACACAATAACTATTGATTTTCTAGGCCTTACAAAAGGGCAGTGAAATCCATACAGACAGAAGCCCAATCTTATGACTTTACAAGTTATATACTTGGGCTTGATCTAGAATTATGGACTGAAATAATACCCAAAAAAAAAAAAAAAAAAAAAAAAAAATTGTAATCAAAGATTTGGTAAATTATGGTCCACACAATGCTGTATAAACCATAACAAAATTACATTTTTAATATATTAGAAAATCATTACTGATGCTGTTATAACAAGCTGTTCTTCTTCTGAGTTCACAAGAATGTGACAGCAGAAACCAGGATGTACTAAGAAGCACTAACACAAACCAGAATGCTGAAACCAGAGAAGATCTCAATCTGCTCTTCTCATTTTGATATTAATGGGAATCTCTTTGTAGGACTGAACCTTCTCAGCTGCTCTCCTCAATGGCCTTCCAATACAAGTTCTGTTTGATACAACTTGACCTACAACTCCACAACCATCTTTTTCATTGCTTGCTTCTTCATTGGCACAACAAGAATGCAAAGGAGGAGGATTTGGATCATCGACGATTTCCAACTCAAACAAGTCCTCAACTGGTTCCTGTTTCTGCTGCTGCTGTATTCGAGAACTAGCTGACTGCCTCCTTAAACGACGCCTGATTCAATCATCCCTTATTTACTCCAATTGTCCATAATAAGAAAGATAAAATGCAATAAACACAATATTTTTTCGAGTACTACTAATATAAGCATGGACTAGATTACGAAACTAAATGAAACTAACCGTTTTTCAGCAGCTTCTTCTTTTGCAGCTTCTGGTGAGGCAGTTGAATGGCTCATAGCTGAAAAGGTCATGCCTTTAAGGTTCAGAATTTAGAGACAATATATATATAACTAGAATCATTGTAGTCAGCAAGAAATATTACATCGACATCTTCTGGCACGAATCCGCCTGTTGCTTTTACTCGGTTTGCTCTCTGCATTTGGTAGGGAGTTCCCTACTGCAGCTTCCCCATCCTAGATACAAGACAATGGTTAACAGAAGTGGCAAAAGTGAATAGTTTTGCACAACGAACTAGTCTTTCGAGCCGACATACCTTCCTCTCCTCATTCATAGTATTACTGATACTTTCTTGTTCCTGCAATAACACATTACACTTTGGTCTCATTACATATCAGTGATTACCCAAGTAAGCATTTGTAGTGAAAAGCATAAAGAAGCTAAAGCTTTACCTTTACTTCCAGATTCTTTGCTTTGGAAAGAGCTTCCTTGCAAGCAATCTCATGTTGAAGAGACTTTAACTGAGTTGAGCAACAGAAATTAGAAAGGAACAACAGAAAAGGCCAGGCTGCCTAGATAATCAAAACTAAATAAAATTGTTTATTCCCATTTCAAAAAAGCTTTTACCTTTTCTTTATTCAAGTTGAGCTCCTGCAAGTAAAATATTTCACACAAATCATCAACAAGATTGTGGTTATTTAAGACATAATTTCAGAAATGAGTTGACAACTACAAGTGTGCAAAAACCAACCGCCAGCATATGACTGTTTGATTGAGCAAGATGCCAGTTCTGCAGCTGCATTTTCTGAAGATTAACCCTCAGTTTCCTAAGTTCATTTGCGCTCAATTCTATTATCTTTCTGTAAATGAAGTTCAAGAATTTGGTTTTAAAAGAACAATCGAAAGAAAGAATACGAATTTTTAAAGAGAAATGAACATAGAGAGCGTACTTTTTGTCTTGAATGAGTTTCACCAATGCCATGTTTTCCTATTTCAAGCACCCAGAACAAGAAAGAATCAATTAATTTTCATTCAATCATTACTATTGATGTTGAATTGAAGAAAATAGAGTAGAAAGGTAGTACCTTGACAAGATAATCGACGTAGTCCTTAGTCGAAGAAGCATCATTTTTGACATGGATAGGGGATTTGGGTTGCGGCAGAGAGTTTGTGATGTCTGAGAGCCTCTTACTCACAATGCTTCCAAAAGACGACCGTTTTGCCATTTTGTCTCCTTTCATTCTGCTAATCACATTCAATGCCCAGATTCAAGAAGCCTAAATAAATCGGTTCAGTTCATCTACAAAAGAATCAACTTTCTAACCCCGTAAATGTTTACCCAGAGCAAAGAAAATTAAGAATAATCTATAATTTAAGCGTATAATTCCTTGTTTTTGTGTTTCTCTTCTTCTTCTTCTTTGTGGGTGTGGGTGGGGAGCGGCGAACAAGGTAGAAGATAAAATTAAAGGCAGCAAAAGCCAAAAGGGGGAAAAATGTAAATGCCAGATGCCAAAAGAGGAATACAACTATACAAGAGAGGCTAAAGAGATGGTCATTAGGTTCGGATGTCCAACGGCTATCCAAACCGAAGCAAATGAATGAAGGCTGCCCAGTATCCCAGCCTGATTTTCAAATTTCATAGCCGTTTAGGCCTAACTCTTGTCATTTGGCTTTTCCAAAATTATTCTACCACCTACTTCCCTTTTTCTTTCTATCAGTTTTGTTCAATTAATTAAATTAATACAAACGGATAACAAGAACATATACTATTGACGAATCGCGTTCGGGTGCGAATGACACGCCAAAGTGTGAAAATGTAAATCAATTAGTGCGTGTCATGTGTTCAGATCTGGGTGCACATATTGTTATAATTAGGTGCACTTAGGTGAAAGTAGGTGCTATTAGATGCACCTAGGTGAAAGTAGGTGCACCTGATCAATGAATGTTAACCACGCAAAATTACATGCACTTGTAGGTGAAAGTAAGTGGGGTGAAAGTAGGTGGGGTGAAAGTAAAGGCAAAATTACATACACTTGTAAGTGAAAATATGTGCACTTATAGATGACAATAGGACACGTGGCGCGCATTGATTGGGTCACATTCTACACCTGGGCAGCCAATCGCACGAGATCGCACCCCTACTATTGACTAATTAATGTTTCAAAGGTAGTAGTACTTGAGAGATAATATTTTTATAAGTTCACTCATCAATTATTATTCTTGAGAGATAATATAACATTTGTTACATATATATATACACACACATTTGTCCTACACAAGAGTCAAGACAATCATATTGTTAAATTTATATATTTCAATTGTGACAATAAATATTCTTCTGTTAAAAAATATACTCTTTAAACTTGATATTATAAGGTTGTTTCTGATACATGATAATATTTTTTTTAACATTACAATATACATCAAGCCTTGTCAGGTTGGTTCTACAAAATATTGATTTTCCGTCAAAAACTCAAAAACTAAGGGAAATACAAATTTCTGCATTCAATTCCCATTTTCATTTCCATTTCCGATGGAAGTTGCAAAACAAAAGGAGAAATCTGTGAATAACCCAACCATCTGGTACTTGGAAGGCAGAGTTATGCTTTTCTGGCATTGCCTTGAGAAAGATATGAAGCCTTACTCCTCACCTGCAAAATTGAAGCACCCCGTGTCATCATCAAGGAGTCTAGCCAATCCAACATTCAAGAAAAGGGTGCCTTAGCGATCTACCTTTAAAGCATAAGACCTCAAATCCGTGCTGCTGATTTGGCAGGTGCAGTTGCGCAGACATACTCCCCACTTCTCAATTACTTCTGGATTGTCTTTTAGCATTGGGTCACAGAAAACCCAGTTTTCTACCAATATCAGGTATATATACATTTTCTGAAGATCAAAAGTCTCATCTCTCAGATTAATAGAAATTATAGATTTTAAGATCCCTTCTGCATCAAAGACCTACAAGGAAGTTGCATAAATGTACAATCAGAATTTGTTATCACCCTACAAGAAAGCAACATCATCATGCTGTTCACCATGCAATCTATAACTCACAAAAGCTTAGCAATGTTTTGGCTCAGTTGAGATGACAGTTTCTCATTACTTCATGCTTCACTGTTACACCTTATTCTTATGACAATTCTATTTTAAAAAAGTAAAGCTTACTGAACGTGACAACAAAGACTAAATAATAAAATGACAATTAGCAAAAAAAACTAGCAAGATAAAACTAAGTACCTTGCTATCAAAACATGCTACAAGAAACTCATAGGCTACTGCACTTTTCAAACACTTACTACGAGCATCAAGCACTGAAATGCTATCCACAGCTCTCAAGCAAGAGATATCAGTAGCCAGCCTGCAATTAAGCAAAGATGTAATGGAAAAAGGAAAGGAAAGGAAAAGAAGGCCAAAAGGGGGAAAAGGAATCTTCTTTGATTAGTAGAGTAGTAATATGGGCGAGCAAGAGATAGATTATCACCAAATACAAATTTCACATTCAAACAAACCATAACTAGTAACAAAAGAATGAAGCACTTGGACAGAATGTATGGAGTAGAAAACTACACAAAAAGCAAACCTGCAGGTGAGGGACTTGGCTATTTTGACACAGCTGACATCAAATTCACTGTCACTAAAGAAACTAATAAGCGAGTGAAGACACTCATCCAAGATTAGGGAGAGGCCAAGAAGTTGTCGATCCATAAACATGCAGATTATCACTACTATCAGGTCTTCTACCTCTTCAGTTGAGAAGACTGAACACGTGTTCCTGCATTAACAAAAACAGAATATCACATGCTAATTCAACCTTAAAATTTTAACAGTTTGATCAATACTTGAATTTTTCATTAAATACCTTATAACAAATAATATTCAAATTTAAATTTAACCAGTTCGGATCAATAAAATTGTTCAGACTGCCAGAAATACAAATATAGCAGCAAGTGCTTAAATTTTTCATTACATACCTTACTTGGCAAATAACAGAAACAAACTTTATCCAAGACCTTATATTTTGTGGTGGACCAGAAGAATCAGAATCTGTGGAGGACAAAAACAATTTATGACAAACCATTTAAGAATACAATATACATAATTTTATTTTGAAAGAATTGGAGTATCTAGATATTTCTATTGACACCAGATCACTTGGGGATAAATCGAACCAGATATTCCACCTTGGCCAACTTGGGTGCAGGATATTGACTACCTACTAAACAAGAAAATCAATTGAAAATGTAGTCACTTACCTAAATGGTCAAGTTCCATGGATGATGATGCCTTTGAAGGTGCATCCAATAGAAAGCCATATACATCAAGGGCACTTATTAGTTCTGAATAGCCTGGTAACCATTCGATTTCAAAGTTGTGTAGGTCAATCTGATTAAGAAAATGCTAGATATAAGGCAACCATGGAATCACCAAAAATATATCTGACAATTAAATTTTCAAACAAGTGTCTATATTTCAGAGATTGAACAACCTCACTTTTAGACGAGAGAATGTGACACCAAAAGCTGCATGCGGCAGCTCCTAACTGTTGTTGTGGTGAATATAACACTGCCATGGAAAGATATATAGTGATAATTTGTCATTCCATAAAATTAGAATAAAGTTGCACTTACACATATTAAAACTCCATTTTGCAATGGATCTTTCAAGTCGACCATGAGAGCTGATTAATTTCAAAAGCCAGCCATGTACCAGTAACCCCTCAAGGAAACTCTGATGACCTAAATCATCATAAATGAACAACTGTCATATTCAATTGATTCTTAAAATTTACGAAAAAAAAGATTGTGCTAGAAATGTATGAAAATGAAAAAAGAACCACAACTAAAACAAAAGCAAAAAATTAGACCTTCATCTGTTTTGAGTTCTACCAATGAATTAAGGTCATGTTTCAGGAAAGATTGCAGAAACCTGCACCTCGTTAGCTCAGGGAAATCCAGTTTTGGCAAAGTTTTCTACAAGTTATATGGAAGACAGATATATCAGCATCCATCAAGCCTGACATAGAAATGAATGGTAAAATGATTTACAGAATCAGTGTCAAACTATTGCTCATAAGTTATTAAACCTGACATCCAAACACTTGAAGACCCCACAAAGACATTTCATCATCAGCCTTTATTTGATTCATCTATAAAATAGGGAGAATAATCAGTATTGATGTGTGTAAGATGTTATTATATGATAATAACATCAGGTTAAAAAACACTTGTGGGGGTGAAAGATGTTTGCCTTCTCTTGGAACTCGTTAACACATATATGAAATGTCGCTTCTCTTTCATCAATATCATCATCAGAATCAAAGGCCTTTTGGACCTTCGACCGTTTAGTAACCTTTTTATCCTCCTTGTAGAAGTCATTTAACAGGTCATCTAAACCTATAACCTTTTTCCTGAAAATTTTAAAGAAACAAAAATGATCATTTGAAGGCAGTCACTTGATAAGAAATACTTATTATTTTTGCACATATTAAAACCCATATGTTTCTCATGTGTAGCTACTTGAGAGAGTTACGTGAATAAAGAACAGTGGCATAGGAGCTAATGTATTATTACACTAAGAAATGTCAGGTGTGGATAAAGTCTGTTCTTTGAATCATACAAGCATTCATGTATACAGATAAACGTGCAAATTGCACACACATTCACTTTATGAACTTTTATAACATGTATACTAGTGCTAATCGGTATAGATGTTTCAGCAATTGAAGTGAGAACAAAACACATAAATCCTCTATGCGGCTTCATTGTACTACAAAACTAAGCGATGATTAAATAATTAGGGGTCAGTAGTCAGTAAAACCTTTAAGAAGATTAGTTATGGAGTAATTTAATACAATAAATAAATAACCCTAGATAAACAAGTCATTCATAACTTCTATATTCTGCGTTAAAATTGGGGGAAAATACGAGAAATAGAGAAAATTTCAAGGTTTTTACTTTTTATTGTAAACCGCTGGCTCTTCGAACTCGAAGTCCAGAGGTTCGTCAGTGTCCGTTGTCATCTTCGTGTATTTCTCCTAGTAACAACAGATTAAAAGCAGACGCAAACGTGCAGAAAGCTCTTCACTTTGTATTTGAGTGTATCACTGTATGAGTATGAGAGGGAGAGGGGAAGAGAGGTCTGAATGAGAGAGAGAGAGAGAGAGAGAGAGAGGTCTGAATTAAAAGAATGAGAGTGAGAAGAAGCGGCAAAATGAGAAAGTTGGCTGTGCTTTTCGTTGGGGTTTGCCCGGGAAATCTTTCGTCACGTTCTGATTTTATCGATTGAACTTCCCCAGTAATACCAGTATGGATGCAATTGTTACGTAGCGAAAATAAATAAAAATAGAGCTCATTTAATAATGTATATTGTCAAATTAAATTGTAGTATAATTAAAATGATACTTTAATGTTGTTATAATGAAATTAAAATCTAAAGTAATACAATAACTTATATTGTCAAATGAATTTGGAGTGTAATTAAAATAATATTTTAGCATTACTATAATTTACTTAGTGTATGTGAAAAATAAAACTACAAAATAAAGTTCATTCAATAATGTACATTGTTAAATGAAACTGTAGTATAATTAAAATGATACTTTGATATTGTTATAATGAAATTAGTGTGTAAAAAATGAAACTGAAAACATAGTAATATTGTGAAATAAAACTGAAGTGTAATTACAATGATACTTACTGCAACACTGTTACCTACATTAACCATGATCCACAAGAAAATTTGCAGTACGGATGTTAGCCCAACTTTTGGTTTGTCTTAACGATATAAGGTTGAGTAATGTTTCAAGCCAATAAGGCAATAAGAGGGGTAATTATCTTTTTTTTTTTTAATATAAACTTCATTAATTCATATCCAAACTTAGATCATTACAAAGGAAGAAAGGAAGAGTAAAAAATTACTCCGCACAATTTGGCATAGAAAGAGATTCTCTAGCAAGTCAATGGACAACCCTATTCACATAATGTTTACCAAAAGAAATGTGTACTTGTATAAGTTGACACATGATATCCTTAACGTCTACAAGTAAGAGATCAAAGTAAGAAGCAATGCAATCCTTAGTTAAGCCATGAACAACCAGTAGGGCGTCAGTCTCAACATAAACATTATCATACTAGCGAGTCTTAAGCCAATTGAGGGCATCACGCATTACCATGACTTCAGCCTCCCTATGATAGAACACATACATCTTTATGTTGGATGCAACCTACTACCATAAATGAACCAGAGTCATCCGTAAGAGCCCATCTGAAGCTCATCTTATTTACATTTGAGTCTAAAGTTACATCAACATTGAACTTTTTAAATTCAACTTGAAGTTTTTCCCACTTTATGGGTGGGCATATTTTGTATTCTATGATCTTGAACTACAACCACTGTCTTCCAATCATGGAGATATCTCTTAGGGTCCGTTTGGAAAGCAGGAAAATGACTTCTGGAAAATGAGTTATTTTCCGAAAAATATTTTCTTTTCTCGTGTTTGGCTGCACAGCGGAAAACTGTCTTTTGCGTGTTTAGTTCATTTTCTGAAAAATGAGGTAAAATTATATAATTAAACAGTTTATATAATTAATTATTTTGTTAAAAATATAAAAAATATTTATTTTTTTGAAATCAAATAATATTATCTATTAAAAAGTTATAACAAAATTAAAAAAAAAAAAAAAAAAAAAAAAAAAAGAGACAGCGGAAACCAAAGAGTACTCTCTGGTTTCAGCCGGAAACTAGAGATAATCTCTCTCTGGTTTCCGGTTGGAAACCAGAGAGCAGTGCTCTACTGCTCTCTGGTGTCCGGACACCAGAGAGTAGTAGAGAACACTCTTTGCTCGCCGAAAAACATACAGCCACAAATTGGAAACCAAATCCGAAGAGGAGATAACCAAATCCGAAGAGGAGAGAATAGTGCGCAATAAGTGTTGGTGAAGTCGCGAGAATTTTCTGGCCAGAAGATGAGAGAACAAAGAATGGAAAATGACTTCCCCCCCAAAAAAGGGAAAATCATTTTCCGAAAATATGTCTCATTTTCCATTGATTATGTGGTATTTTTTTTTTACTTCCATTTTCCTTACACAGCCAAACACCAAAAATCCGGAAAATAATTTCCATTTTCCGGATTTCCAAACACACCCTTAGCTCTCTTAGGCTAACATTATCCCTGCAAATCTCTCCCACTCTCAAAAATGGGTCCCACTTCCACATCATCTTATTTGCAAATCATCTACTATTCACACTACATCCCTACAAAGAGTTAATTCCAGCAATGGTCCTCTGACTATGTTGATTTTCCACAATTGATCCCTGACTTTTAATTTGGACAATTTAGACACTTGACTTTCGAAATCTTTCCAATGTTGGTCCTTCTGTCAGTTGAAGGTTAAGTGGATTTTAGTTTGAGGGGTAAATTAGTCATTTTACATGCTTTGAGTATAATTCACCATCTATTTCTTTGTATTCATTCTCTACTGGATCAGACCCAAACGATGTACCTCACGTTCATCGCCGAAGAAATCGAGGACAACGCCGACAAATCCACCGGCGAGAGAGGAGATATCGGAGAACTGTGCTGATAAGTTCGAGGCTTAACGTTCCGAAGATTAAGCCATAGCGCCCTTTGTTTGTAGCCACTACAGAAGAAGGTGTGAGATTTCAACAAAATTCTGCATTACACACACGAAAAAAATGTAGTTTGAAGTTGTGCTTCGAATTTAATGAAGGTAGTTTGAAGTTGTGCTTCGAATTTAATGAAGGTAGTTTGAAGTTGTGCATCGAATTTAGAAGATCATTCGAAGATGCTTCCAGATGTTCATATCGATGATTGCATGGGTAATCTGATGGCATATTGCATCCGTTTACCATAAATTGCTCAGCAGTTTATCAAAATTTCCAGATCGGTGAATCTGGAGCGAGACCAAGCAATGATCGAAAGAAGCCGGTTCTGGTTCTCAAAGATGGATACTGGAGTGGAGCTCCAATAGAGACACGCCATTAGCACTGGTGTGGTTTCAATGACCAAATCTATCATTTCATTTGTTCAATTTCAAGAGTATATCACGCATCTGTGCGCCCGTAGGAAGGGCGGTATCTGGCCAAAGTGAGAATTGAATTAGATGTATTGAAACCTGAAATTGATAGAGTATGGGTGGAATTTGTGGATGGTGGATGCAATTTGAGAGGTTTTTGGCAGCAAATCGTGAGGGAGGAGGTTTCGGCGTACTGTGTCTGTTGCAATAGGTTTGGGCATTTGGTGGGGAGTTGCTGATCAATTGACGAGCGGAACAAAGAGGAAAAATGAACCAAGCAATGAAAGGACGACTTTAACCCTGAAATTGACGGCTAACTAACGTTAAGATAACAGAAGGACCAATCTTGAAAAGATTTCGAAAGTCAAATGTCTAAATTGTCCAAATTAAAAGTCGATGACTAATTGTGGAAAATCAACATAGTCGAAGGACCATTGCTGGAATTAACTCTCCTTATAAATCTAATCAACTTTTAAAAGTGGACCCAACATATTAAAATAACATTATTAATAATATTAAAATATTAAAAAGAAAGAAAAACAATAAAAAAAATTAAATAATACAAGCGGTTTGCAAATTTGCTTCATCAGCTTGCAAAGCTAATATTGGCTGGGATAATCCCAGCCTTAGCAATAATCCTTCAATTAACAGAGCGACTATTCCATCCAGCAAAACATCATAAAATTGCAAATAAGTTTCTTATTCTTATTATATTATACGGAATATTCTATGTACTATATAGGTAGCCATGCATCACATTGTTTCAACAATGAAGTCTTCAACAATGTCTAATAAAATTACTAAATTCATCAATGTGTAATAAAATCACAAATTTTTCATTTCACATTTATTCAGGTTCAAATAACTACATTATATACTATATATATATCATACTATATATATGGCCGCGCATCGCGCGGGTGCACATACTAGTTGCCTAAAATAGTAAAGACTCATTCCACCAATTCGGTAAAAGAATTGGACACATCTGTGGGGGTGGGGATGTGAACATCAGAATGACTCTAGACTTTTTTGTGCAATGTGCCAACATGACACTCAAATAGAACATGTCAAGTAGGTTCATCATACTGAATGCACATTTTGCACTATATGGGACTTGCTACTTTAATTTTTTTCTTATTTATTTTCAAATTCAACACGAGTTTAAGCCGGTTATTGTTTTAACCCTTCCTTAATTTTTGTATTGATTAATGGTAGAATTAAATATTATACTACATCTATCTCATTTTATCTATCATACTTACTATTTATTGGTCAAACTAACTCTTTTTTCTTGATTTATTTTTTTAGTAGTTTTTATTTATTTTTAAATTTAATTTTTGTATTTAATAGTATTTTTAGTGTAGTTTCTAAATATATAAATTTTGTATACTAATATTAAATTTAATATTATAAAAAATTAAATTAAAAATAATTTCAGTCAAGTCTCATCGAATCAGACACATAAAATGAGACAAGACAGTATTATTTAACAATTCAAGGAGGAAGTGGAGAACGAAAAAGGGGCCAAAGATTTGCACAAAAGATTCAATTTTGGTGAAAATTATTAAGTTGCTCGATAGGTTTCAGTGCTGTGTGTAATGATGAATACTTTTCTTTGGCTTTGACAGATAGCGTCTAAGATGTTAGGTTTTCCTGTTTCACTTTGTCTCGAAAGTGAACAAAATTAATGTGCTAAACCTGATTTTATATGACGGGTCTGATCAAGAAAATGTTTTCGAGAAACAAATTCGTAACCATTTAAGTGCCAGAATCATGCTTCACTCACTTAAAACACAATTAACAGCTATGCAACAAGGGATTTTCTAAGTAAAACCCAACATGTTAGTTAAAGCTCCCAAAGAGAAATGAAAATCCAAGATGATCATATAGCTTCAACATATATTGCTTAATTCTCCTATGATTCAGGAGCAATCTGCAGGATTCATGAAGGATATATAAGAATGGTTCAGAAAATGGAACCTTAATACACAACTATACCAACTTTGGTTTATTTTGTGTATATGTTCCCTGGTTTTCATTTCTACCTCTTACTACCATCGCTGGTTGTCACCGGCATTTCTACTTGTAATTCCTCCGCCTGATCCCTAAACTTCTTGTATATATCCCCTCTGTAAAACTCTCTCGTCCTCGCTACAAGAATCAGGGACGAAACCGCCCCAAAGAACGTTACACAGGTGAGAATTATGAAAGCCAGACGATAACAATGGGAGCCAATGCATATCAGCTCCTTCACATCTGCCCTGGTTAGCCCTCTCTTGGCAAGATCATTGCGAGCCTCCTTGTCATATAAGTGACCGGTAATCATTACGTTGAGTACATATGTCCCGAGGGGGCTAGCCAGCTGCCCGCAGCTGAATAGTGTGGAGTAGTATTTGAGCCCGAAGAGCTCGGAGATGATGGTGAAGAGGAGAGGGAGCTGGGCGCCAAAGGAGAAGCCGATGACGATTGAGGCAATGTAGAGGGAACCGGGGGTTGGGAAGGCGATGAGGAGGAGGCCGATGCAGGATAAGAGGAGGATCAATGTCATCATCAGGGGCCTGGGGAACTTGTACTTGACTACAAGAGTCTCTGACAAGAATCCAGCAAAGATTCTTCCAAAGAAGTTCCAGATACTGAGGAGGGACACAAAAGTCTTGATGGTCTTCTCGGGGTATCCTAGCGATTCCCCGAGCTGTCCCATGTTGTCGACCGCTGTGAGGCTGGATCCCATCCCGCAGAAATTGGCTATGAAAATGATCAACATATCAGTACTGAGAAGAGCCTGCAAGATTGAGTAGTCTTCTCCTCTTTTCGGTTTGTGGAAGAAAATATTGGCTAACCAAGAGACTTTGGGCTCCTTTGTTGGTGACTTTTCGGGCTCATTTCCCTCTGATGATGCTGGAGGAACAACAGTTTGGACAGTTATCTTAGTACTAGGATTATTGTCCTCGACAATGGGGGTTTTCCTCGTCTGCCAGAGGGTGAATTCGTGTCGTACGAAGAACAGCAGAGGGACGAAAAGTAGGATACACGAAACAGCAGCACTGGCATCAAAACCAGCTTCAGAAAACGAAGCCACTTTTTCGAGGATTGTAATGACCATTAGGAACAATGCGAGGACGATGGTTGAAACCAAGCAAATGTAGAACATTTTGAGCTCACCCTTATCCCGAACCACCTTAATTTCTCGAATTGTGTACACAAAAACCACAGACAATGCGGCTGGGAGCCAACCGATAAGCAGGATAAGAGACTTGGAATCATTTCCATAGAGCGCCAAGTAGAGCTGAGTCATGATGGCACCACTTAGCCCCGTGAAGCCTTTCAGGAGGCCGATCATAGACCCCCTGGACTCGGGGAAGTTTCGAACAGACGTGACTAGAGCACCAGTATTGGCGAAGTTCTGAGAATTCGCACCAATGCAAATGTACAAACACATTTGCCACACCCTCGGCTTCGCAATCTTTCCCATTACTGCCAGCCATATAACAAAGTAGCCCGCGAAGTTGAGGCCTGCACCAATTAGCAAAAGAAACCATGTTGGCACCACCTCAGCTATAAGCCCGGACAACACTCCAACATTGGCACCCAGGTCCTTGAAAAAACCTAGGAGGTTAAGCGTGGTTTGGTCATACCCGAGAGACGCTTTTATCTCCTTGGAATATACTCCAAACAGATACGTCGCCCCTGCCCCAGCCATGATCAAGAACGAGGCAAACAGCGAGAACCATCTCCCTCGAAGGAAATGGATAACGAACCGGAGGGGCTCGCTGCTGCTTCTGCTAACATCCCCGGGCGCTGTTGCTCCCATTACTTTTGCCCTGATAATGCAAATTCAAGATTTAGAAAGGTACTCTGATCTGATCTGCCTAATTGGTATGACTATAAATCTATAAATTCTAAGTGGGTGGTTAGGAAATTGACAAAAGTGGCACCCCAACTGCTATATAACAAAGATAATGCTATACGCCTATACTGGAAAAGGGGGTCCAATAATTCAAGACCCTTTTCACATAGGAGTTCACAGGAATCTGTCTTTCTAATCCTTAATAGCAGTAAATTCAATACATACTGTCTCAGCTCATTCCAGAAAATCATCAATAATTTATGATGCAATAATAACTTAACCAAATTGGTAAATTGCTGTGACTCATTTTGCACTTTAACCAAGCAGAAATAATCGAACATTATCCTAAAAGGCGTTTTACTATATAAGATGACTTTGATAACACACTACATATATGTAAAGGTTGTCATATACAAAAGAGCTCAATGTTCGAAATAGCTTAATCCATTCATATCAGTGACTCCTTAATGATCGAAAACACAATATCTGGGGGAGTAATGATCTGGCCAAGGCAAATCCCCAAAAATAGTAATTTTCTTTTTTACTATTGTAATAGCCAAGTGGAGATATAATGAGTGGGAATATCACAATTCAAAGTTTCAAACACCAAATGTGGATCCTACTTAACTTATTAGTGTTCTTCTGTGACTAGAAAAAAAGAACACTTTGATAAGACCGGTTGACAAAAACAACAAGCCACTTTAGAAAAGTATTCCCGTGATATATTAGAACAAAGACTTGCAAAATGAAAAAGTGTATTATATTCTAGTTGCTTTGTCTGGTAATTGGAATACCCCACAAGGCCACAATCAAACTCCCAAGCAGTTCACATGCCCCAGATGTAGTATTCAATGGAGGAATATAAAATTTATGAATAAAGAAATACATAAAAGTAGGGCTACTGAAAATTATGAAATTTCCGACCAACTGAAAGTGATTTTAAATTAAGTTGAAAGCAAAAAATGGTCGGAAATAGCAACAAAGATTTTTCCGGATACCAAAAGTGATCGGAACAAGGCTTTCGACTTGATTTAAGATCACTTTCAGGTGGTCAAAAATTCCATAATTTCCAGTAGGGGGCACTAAATACCCATCATCACATTGTTCATACTAATCCTCATCAACCCTTTATTCTAGCCAGTTTATTGGACACAGGAATAGCATTTCTTGCCTACCTTCTTCTCATGAGAATCTTATGATTGGTTTTAACACATCAAGAACAAGCAACACAGCCATATCATATCTATCCATAAACATATTCAAAACAAATGCCAAGAAAACTGGGCATAATTGCATCTCTAACTAAACCTATTACCACCCGACACATCATATGACACTGTTTTCAAAGATTCTTCAACAATTCTTGTTTAGGAACAAAGCAGACAATTTTTTCTTAATGCCACTTTTTGCCCTCTCCATTTTCAGAAAAAAAAAAAAAAAAAAAAAAAAAAAAAAAAAAAAAGGATGATGCAATTAACTGATTACTGTCGTTAGCAGCTGAAAAAAGTGGGATGGGATCCCAAGAATTCCAAGAAAATTAATATGAAAGGTAGAAAACAAAACAAAATAAAATGTAATTGTGCTTACTTATTCGGAGAGATTGAGGTTTTGTTGTTCTAATGAATTGAAGGAAGAGCAATATAATGCTGCTGCATTAATTAATAAGGTAGAACACTAGAGTTCAGACCCAAGAAACAACTACACTACTTTGTCGGCGCTATGCTTCAGGGTTCCGTGTTTCTTGCAATCTTGTTCTCCAGTCTTCTCAATCTGAACTATCTATTTTCATATGCCATAAACACACGACCACTTGGGATGATACTATGAATACTCAGCAACTGGCCGGACGATGACCCATGAGGATAGGCTTATTAAATGATGACGCGTTGACGACGTACGTTCTCATCCAAAAATTATCACCTTCTAGTTTGGAAAATAATAATATATTTTTTTCCCTTTTAGGCAAATGACTAGAATTGATATCAATTTAATGCAATATTTTTTTCCTTACATGATAATCACTTCTAATGAACAAAGCTATTATCTATCCATAATCCATAATCCATTTTTTTGAAAACATATATCCATAATCCATAATTACGTTATAATAGTTTATTTGCATTCAAAAGAATCTGAAAAACAATATTAATTGAAATTTTTAACAAATATGATATATTTGTATTCCAACTTGTGGGATATGAAAATATTATTGATTGATTTTTTTTTTTTTTAATTTAAGACTAAATTTTGGTAAAATAAGACGAATGATGCATGATAGAATTTATTTGAGTTTTTACCTATTGATACTGTACAAGTATACAATTTTGATATTAAACAAAAATTGTTATTACCTTATCATAGTTCTTACTTATCACTTAAAAAAAACATTCAATAAGAATAAATAAAGATAATCGTAATATATATATATATATATATATATATATATATATAGATATATATATATATATATAGAGAGAGAGAGAGAGAGAGAGAGAATATTACTTCAATTATAAATAAAATATAATATATTTTTGAAAGTTTGTAAAAATAATATTGTCTTCTATTATTAAAGGCGTATCATATAATTTCATTTATAATTTTAAATTTATTTTATTTTTAACATTGAGTAAATTTTATTCGTGCATTACCCATTCATAATACATATAACTAGTATATATTGGATAGGAATTTAGGAAAAAATATATGGTGACGAAAACGGGGACTATGGTATTGGCTTTTGGTAGTGACGACATGGGGACTACTATATGAGGTTGGAGTGGTGGCCAATAAAAGTGGAGTACGAGGGTTTTGGCTGTCACTAAAACACATTGTAAATGGAATTAGATTTTTTTTTCAATAATTTTTTAAATTGTAATTTTTTTTTTAATACTCATGATTCTTATGTTTAAAAAAATTATTTTGTTAATGCAATTATTTTTATCCGCGTTGATTCTAAAAAAAAAAAATTACCTTAATAAATACCTTTTTATATATGTAAAAAATGATTTCAATATATATATATATATATATATATATATATATATATATATATATATATATATATATATATATATATATATATATATATATATATATATATATATATATATTTAAAATACTACTAACTCTGTTACAATGTAGTATCTGTTCATAATTACTTTCTCAACTAAATAAAGCACAAAGAGTCAATATTGAATATCCCCTCCACTGAGGCTCGAACCAAAAATATTACGGCTCTGTTTGGCAAACCTAGCTGAAAAGCTATAAGCTAGGAGCTGAAAGCTGAAAAGGAGCTGAAAGCTGAAAAGCTATAAGCTCAGAGCTGAAAACTGAAGAGTTGTTCTGCTAGCTGTTATGATTGAAAGTGTTTGGTAAAAATAGCTTTTTGATAAGCTGATAAATGTAAAAAGACTAAAAAGGACATCTTTATACAATTTAAATTAGTTTGTTTACATATTAAAATTTAACATTTTGTCTTTTAAAAAAAAATTAAAATTTTGAAATAAAACTATTAGCATAATCATGATCTAGCATCTCATAATGAAGTAGCAATATTATTGCAAATCTCATAATAATAATAATAATAATAATATTTGTGGTGAAAGTTGCAGATAAAGGAGAAGAGAAAAATGTTTTAATTGGGAAGGGTAAATTATGTCATTTCTTTAAAATAATAAGGATAAAGATGAAAAATTAGTTAGGAAGCTATGAGCTTATTTTGAAAAGCTATCTAAAATAGCGTTCCAAAATAAGCTCTTATTTTAAGCTATGAGTTTATTTTGGGAACATTACCAAACAAAGCTTATAGCTTATTAGGAACTTAAAATAAGCTATAAGCTCTGCCAAACAGAGCCTACTTACGCCTTAATGGTGTTTAAGCTTATAAAACAAAATTTTAAAACTTACGGAGTATTTTTTTTTTTTTTTAAATGGTTGCTCACTTGCTATTGATTATTAGGACCAGCACTAATCCAATGGCAGTCTTTTTCTGTTGCTATCTCTCTCATGTCCTGTCTCAACTTGTTGATTTTATTTTAGCTGCCGATTGCTTTGATAAGATATCAATTTTATAATTATTAAACATACTTTTAATTTTACAATATTATAAAACTAACTTCATTTTTTTTCTTATCGTCGAGCAATCTTTAACTGTTACTACATACCTAGATAGATAACATTATATTAACCATCACTTTTTATATGAAAGTTTGTTTTCACCTTAACCCTCTCATTATATATATATATATATATATATATATATATATATATATATATATATTATGTTCTATGTGAAAATTATGGACCATTTTAGGTAGTTTTATGTAAAATTTTACTACATTTTGTATGTGTTGTACATGTACATATAGAATTATTGAGAAGTTGGACTATAAATATTTTCGCACGATATTTGATAGCTTATATTTGGGCCATATGATGAAGATACTCACGTCATTTTAGGTCCACTGCTCCCTTTGTGGGCTTTTTATAATGGAGGAAGTCTGGAAGGACAAATTATCAGACGTTATGCCATGGAACCGTGTTCACCATTCATGGTGAACACGGTTCCAACGGTGTTAGTGCACCGTTATCTTTTTTTTTTTTTTTTTTTTTTAATTAATTACGTGACTGCCTACACATTCACTTTGGAACCATGCCTACACATTCACTTTGGAACCATGAGATTATGAATTTTCTGTTATGAGATTATGAATTTTCTGTTATGAGATTATGAATTTTCATTACATTCATAATTTCGGAGTTTCGGACATTCATAAATTATGAATTCATGCATGCACATTCACTTTGGAACCATGCCTACATATTCCCGTCCGAAATCACGGACATTCATAAATTATGAATCCATGCCTGCACATTCACTTTGGAACCATGCCTACACATTCACTTTGGAACCATGAGATTATGAATTTTCTGTTATAAGATTATGAATTTTTTGTTATAAGATTATGAATTTTCAGTTGTGAGATTATGAATTTTCTGTTATGCGATTATGAATTTTCTGTTATGAGATTATGAATTTTCATAAAATTCATAATCTCATAACAGAAAATTCATAATTTGATCAGTAACGCGCCGTTAACTCCACATCCGCGATTTTTTTTTTTTTTTTTTTTTGTCTAAAAACGACGTCGTTTTGACTTGTGTTCACCATTCTCGGTGAACACGATTCCACGGCATAATTTGCGACAAATTATATGCTGTGGAACCGTGTCCACCTTGTAAGGTGGTCACGGTTTCAAAACTGTTCATAGTTATGAACATATAGTTCTATAATTATGAATATAGAGTTGTGAACATAATTATGAACATATAGTTCTATAATTATAAATATAGAGATTCAATAATTGTTAATATGAAGTTCAAAAATTATGAATATATAACTTTATAATTATGAATATATAGTTCAGTAATTATGAACATAGAGTTATGTAATTGTGAACATAGAGTTCAATAATTATGAATATTAAGTTCAAAATTTATGAATATATAACTTTATAATTATGAACATGCAATGTGGACACGGTTTCACGACATAACGATTGATCTGGAAGAGTGTATTTATGGTCTTCATAGTGATAATGGTACTTTAAGTTTGTATCACCCTCATACTGGGGTGATTATAAAAAGAGGTGTTTGGTAAATTACTATTAGCTGATTGGATTTGTGGATTTAACTAGTTGATAACATTAGCTGATTATAGAAAGGTGTTTGGTAAATTAGCCGTTAGTAATAGTTGCTTACATGCAAAATGATTTAAAAAAAAAAAAAAATTGATCATAAAACTACTTTTAGCAGTTTTTTCAAGACCTCATTCCATCTGTTCGTCGAGTGCCCCCTTGCTCGCAGTTGTTGGGATATTCTGGGGGGAATTGATTATCCCTCGGCTACCTCCTTCTTTGAGTGGCTTGAAAGTCTATTCACTACAAAGACTGACAATGAAATTTGCTTACTTATCTCCGTGTGTTGGAAACTTTGGGAAGCTTGAAATGAGAAAGTTTGGAACCGCAATATCGTTTCTGCCTCTTTTATCTGTCAATCTGCAACTAACTTTCTTAATGATTGGGCTGCTGTGGAACCGTGTCATAGCACGCACACTACCACATATATCAATTGTTATGTAGTACGTGGAACCGCGTCCACTTTGTAAGGTAAACACAGTTATATGTTCATAATTTTTTAACTTCATATTCACAATTATTGAACTCTATATTCACAATTACAGAATTCTATATTCATAATTATACGACTCTATGTTTATAATTTTTAAACTCTATATTCACAATTATGAACAATTTTGGAACCGTGTTTGCACTGTGGACACTGTCCCACAGCATAATTTGCCAATCGTTATGCTGTGCACCATGCATGGTGCACACGGTTGCGAACGACGCCGTTTCACTTTGGTGGAGTAACGGTGTCGTTAGTGGTACCCTTAACTCCACCAATATGAATATATAGTTCATTCATTCCGAATACACAGTACCAGTAACCGGTGTGGATATATAGTTCACTAATTCTGGATATATAGTTCATTAATTCTGGATGTGGATATATAGTTCACTAAATTCTGGATATATAGTTCAGTAATTATGGATATATAGTTCAAATTATGCACAGCATAACACCGTTAACGACAATCAAAAATATATATATTTTTTAAAGTCGGATGACATCGCTTTTAATCAAAACGACACTATTTTGCATCTGTGTGCACCATGCACGGCATAATTTGCCAT